CTCCACCGCCTGCTCAAAACGCTGCAGAGACCGAGGCTCCTCCGGCAGAAGACACAGATGAACAGTGCATTGTATCTGTCTCTATACCAGGGGTGGTTGAGGAGGTGGAAGATGGGATTTTGCGACAGAAGAGAGTCGCTAACATTCGCTCGTGCGGGAGCGGCTACCAGCTGGTCCTCAAAAGTCATGGAACTAATCCAGATTTTAAGAACCGTTTTATTTTTGAGCTCGTTCCCGCCAGAAGTTTTGCCGGCGCTCTCCAAGAGTTCCAGGCGATGCATCAGGGTAAACAGATTAAAACTGTCACCCCCAAAGACCTAAAAGATCGACCTTGGAGACAAGTATTAGTCGGCGGTGTTATGTCTCCACGCCGCAAAGATGAAAAAATGTACAAGATCCAGGCTGTCAGCTTAGTTAACGTCAAATTTCCTGGAACTGCTTTCATGTGGGCTAGTGAAAGTAATCTCTCGAAGGCGTTCGGCGAAAACGCCGTTCGGGCAAAGATCAATCAGTACATGATAGAATCTGGGCAAAAAGCCCCCAAGGCACCCACGGAGCGCGTTTTTCGGCTATCTAAGAAAGAACTTGAAGCTCAACTTCAGGCAGAAGATGCCCAACCACGTCGCAAGAAGGCTACTAAAGAGGAGGCTAGAATGACAAGAACAAGGAAGTATCAAAAGAAAACACCCCTGAAAAGCGCGCATCCAAAGAGAAAGACCACTTTTCCGGAAACTGATGGTGAAGAGGAAGAAGAAGGCGATGCCATAGCTGATGGCTCTGTACGGAGTGAGGATGAAGGCGATTCCGGCTCAATGTAAGGCCTTCGACAAATAAACAGGCAGCTGAAATACTAACAGTAATAACAGGGTCGAGTTTATCGTTGATGATGAGGCGGTAGAATATACCAACGAAGATATCGCAAAGGCAATGGCTCAACTTAAGAAAATGATGAAGCAAAAGAAGAAATAGGAGAGAGGCAAAGTATGGCAACACGCATAGCATCACAGTTGCTATAGTTACAGTCATTACAGTACAATAGTTATTGTTTTAAAAAAGAGTATCATGGTAGATATAATTAATAACAGTCGTTACCGCCCTTAATTCTCCTCGATTGTCTCGAGACGCTTTGGCACCCACGGCTTCTTGTAGCCCTTGGTAATTGGGGTGAGTGTGCGGCTCTCTTTTCTCAGAGGAAGATCCGTGTCGATGTATAAGCCTGGCTTTGCCACTTGCTGTGCGTTTTGCTGATGACTTGCTAGCAAATGTGCCATTGGAACCTCTGATGATTCATCGCCATTTGAGAATTTCAGCTCGATGAGCAGCTGTGCGTCAAAGAGGTATCCTTTCACCATATAGGTCTCAACTGCTTCCTTTACTAATCTAAGGCCTAACAATATTGCTACCGCCACATGTATTTCACCCCGTTGAAGCAGTACTTTGACCTTCTCAAGTTGGACATCTTCCGGCTGGTTAGAGTTCAGCAGACACCATACAGCAAGAGAGTCATTTCCAAGAGCGTTTATATCTATTTCCTCCCATTCGTCTATCCAACAACTAAGGACAAGCTGCTGAACAGATAACGGAGAATGCTGGTCTCGTTCGAAGCGTATAAAGGACTGAACATTATGATGTTCCTCGTTGAGGCTTTGAAGAAAGTTGCCGCAGGGCCAATCTTGCTGCCGGAACAGTTTTTTTCCATGGGGGAATAGGACGATTTTATCAACCCCTCCGGGAGCATACGAATTGTTGTCGTCCATTTCCATCGAAGACATGTAGACTAATAACGGTGTTAGGTGCACAATTGTTTAATATTTCTAGGACTATAAAGAGCTTGCGCGAAAATCATTAGATTTGAGAAAGTTGTAGCCTAAGACGCCAAGAATCCAAGCTTGGGACACGCTAAGCCAAGCTTAGGACACGCCAAGAATCCAAGCTTGGGACACGCTAATCCAAGCTTGGGACACGCTAATCCAAGCTTGGGACACGCCAAGAATCCAAGCTTGGGACATGCTAATCCAAGCTTGGGACACGCCAAGAATCCAAGCTTGGGACACTCACATATAATAACAGTATACATTACAATCCATACCTTCAATGCCACTAGAAATGTGTTCTAGCTTTGATTCGTTTACGAAGTTGCCATTTGAGCTACAGCATATGATATGGATATTTACCATATCAAAGCCACGGATGATTAGTGGCTATACCTGCTTTCGAGAGTGGTGGGATGGCAATATCGTCGCTTTCTTAGTGCCGGCAGCTCTACATGTATGTCGCTTTTCACGCTTTGTGGCAAGTAGCGTACTAAAACGCTCTTCTTTGCAAATCCCCGGTATACCAGGGTGGCACACAATCTACATTAATCGAAGCTGGGACTCGTTCATCCTCACAGAGAGGGAATTGCAGAACATTTCCAACTTTATTGCAGATCCGGCTCTCATTGCTCGACTTGCTTTTACAAAGAATGTTAAACAAAATAACACTGCGAGGGACGATTCTTTTAGACAGCTCACTGGTATGCGCCAAATCATAATGATAGGCGAAGAGGACGTTTATTGGGCCGGACAACGAGACGATCTATTTCCAGAACGCAGCATTACGCAGAGAAGAATAGAAGAGCAGGAGAGGAGAGAGAGACAGTTAGAAGCAAGATCATGTAAGAAGATATTCTCTCTTTCATTACCTAAAACTAACCTAAGTAGATCAAAATTAGTTCAAGTACACTGCAACGCCTAACTTTCGTCATCACAGAATCGACTTTCTTTCACAAGGAGTGTTACACCAAATAACACTTCGAGGCACGACTATAACACTTCGAGGCAGGATTGTTTTAGACAACTCTCTGGTCTTCGCGAAGTCATTGTGATAGGTGAAGCGGAACTTTACTTTAACTGAACAACAGGAGCGTCTATTTACAGAGAGACACACCCGGTGACAAGATAGTACTTTCATAGTCCCGACCTGTACACAGCTCTGTCGATATTCTGAGGATGGCATCACTAGATCCACATGGGCTAGAGCAGCTACCTGTCGAGATTATCCTTAAGATACTGATGCAACTAGGCTGCGAGCCAGGGGATATCAGGAGTTTGCTTAGGAGCTCTAAGGTAAATGCCGCACTTCACCCCCTACCTTCTTCTATCTTGCTAATCTATTCGTTACAGACAATAAGATTAGTCCTGAAGACCCACGAAGAGCACCTCTGTCAACAGTTCACGTCTCATCTCTACCCAACTTCCATGGATCCTATCCTCGCCTCCTCAATCCCCATCTTCACCCGCCCATCGACCATCCCCTTAGAACCAAAACGCACTCTCTTAGGCTGCCTCCCTTCTATCATCCGTCCATACACCTTTCCCTGGATGGCCGAGCAGGAAAAGCGTAACAAAATCCTCCGCGACCTCTCTAATTCCCCGCTCCTCGGCATCACTATCCCAAGCCTCCTGCTCTCCCTCTTGGAAACCTCTACGCGCAGCTGCGCCTCGTGCGGTCTGTCTGGCATCGACGCCTTCAAGAGCCACGGCCTGAAGATGCTCCTCAGTCTCTCTGACGCGCGCATCGCCGGCAGCATCGATGACGCACAGCGTGGCCAAGAATTCTGGATATGCGAGCAAGATGCGCTTGCAATCGCGAGCACGCTTGCCCTTGTCTGGGTCGCTAGCATGATGTTCGACTACGGCGACAGGTCGACTTGGGGCGCGGGCGGTTGTGAAGACAACAGCCATGGGATACTAGGAGAGTCGAGTGCGGAGGACGATCTCGAAAAGCGCCAGTTCATATATCGCGAACTGGTGCTGGCGCATGGGCCGTACTTTTTATGGTGCAGCGTCACTAAATCGGAGAAGGAGACGAGGTGGGTTAAGGAAATGCTCGATGAGGGGGTGGAGGGGCTGAAAGAGTATGAGAAGAGGACTAGGCCGGTGCATCGCAGCTTACAGAGTGTGTTGCTGAGACAGCTTGCTAGATTAAAAGGGTGGGAGGGGTGGGAGGGGTGGGAAGGGTGGGAGGGGTGGTATGAGGTGTTTTTGGTTGTTGGAGAAAATATTTTACATTGTAAGGCTCGGGATGCGCGTTGAGAGGCTGAGTGTTTGTTTGTATGGAGATAGTAGAAGACCTAGAAGGGATATTTGTTGGCTTTTGCATCCTTTAATTACGGTGTGCAGCTTCCTTGAAGCGAAGCATTTTGAAAGAACGAAGAAACTTAACGACGACCTGGCTGAAGTGCTTCACGCAACGCTCAATCTTGCTGTCTAGGAACATCAATGGGTCGAAGCCTCCAATCAAGTATTTGCAGACATCCACAGTTTAGTACGAATACATGAAAAGACCTGCAGTGGTGCCATTCCAAAATCCAGCATCCCCGCAACAACCGAAATGCCTCACTCATAGAAACTCATTATTCTCCTCTCCTCCTGGCTACGCCTCCTCCGATCCAACCTCTTGATCACTCCTCAAGCAAACCGTTATCAAGCTCTTTCAATGCCTCCTTCGCCTCTTCCGATTCCGTTTGAAAGAACTGCACGCTCATCAATACGATCTCGAGATCAGCCCGGTTTTTCTTGTCATTTGTCTGCCACAGTGTAGTCGTACGGGCTATATCAGCGAATCCTACCCACCATGCCCAGTCAACCTTTGGCCAGGTTAGAGGATCTACAGGAATGAATGAATAGTAGAGATTCCTAATTGGGATAGAACAACAACATCCTATAGGTTGACCGTCCCTGCATCACCGTTTTCTCACTGACCCCCTGCAGCCATGGGCTCAAAGTGCACTTGTCCTCATTTGGAAACTCTGGCCAACGATGCCCTGGCCACCGTCACTAGAGCACTATTCACGTCTTCAATCTTCCTATTTGTAGTTCTATCAATTACCATAAGCTTCTTCCGCACCTTGAGAGGCCGCAAACATGTCTCAAACCTATGAAAGTTGTACTACAAACAGCAACTGGGAGCAGCAACGAGACCCCCATTCACCAAGATCCGCTCCAGCATCACTTCTGTATGGGCGGAAGAAAGCCCTTGAGGAGCCAGCTATGGCACGATCTTCCACAGCGGTTAACAGCCTCAACAGCACCAACACTTCTTGCACCTCACCTCTGCCAATCATGACGGCGGCGAAATATGCCTTCATTTCGGTAGCAGTTGCGACTGGGCTGTATACGGCACTACTGGGACTGCTGACGACGTCGACCTTTCAATCCCATGTTGTTTACCTACATGCAATTCAGATGACGTGGTGCAAGGATCTCGATGTCCCTGAGACCTTTGGCTTTCTAAAGAACCAGGTTACGCCTTTCTCAATTAAGACATCCGATGGTGAACATCTTTACGCCTGGCATATTCTTCCCAGAGAGTTGTATCGCAAAAACGAGCTTCCTCTTGTTGCTGAACCAACTGGTTTCGTTTCCGATATCACGTCTCGACTAGCTTTCCAACTTTTGCGCGATAATCCTGATGCTCGACTAATTATTCACATGCATGGTGCTGGGGGAACCGTGGGCTCAGGCTATAGAGTTCCTAACTATCACGCACTGTCGGCAGGCCAGCCTGGAAAGATTCATGTCTTGACATTTGACTATCGAGGATTTGGGCGTAGCACTGGCACACCGTGCGAGAGCGGACTTATAATGGATGCCCTTGCCGTTGCGGACTGGGCCATGAACGTCGCCAGCATCCCTTCCTCCCGTATTCTCATCTTTGCTCAATCTATGGGCACGGCTGTGAGCATCGCTGTGTCTAAGCACCTTGCTCTCCAAAGTCCACCCGTCGTCTTTGCAGGCACCATCCTAGTTGCACCATTTGTTGATGTCGCAACACTTGTCGCGAGCTACCGAGTTGCAGGAACTATTCCTCTCCTGGCGCCGCTTGCGAAGCTCCCGCTGCTGTTCAACTACCTTCTACGCTTTATACAGGATAAATGGTTGAGCAAAGACAACATTGCACAATACGTCCAAGCTAATGAAGTTAATGGAGAGATGTATCGCCTAACGATCATACATGCCGAGGACGATTATGATATTCCATGGCATCACACCCCCACTATCTTTTGGCATGCTGTCAACGCTTCAGTGTATGCAGGAATAAGCTACGACGATCTCAAAGCAAGAAAATTGGAATCTAAGGTAGATCTAGGCGCTGCAGGGTCAGTCATGGAATGGCGGGCAGAAAACGGTGTTATTCGGGAGGAAATTCTCAAGACTGGCTTACATGATGTTATTATGGGCTACCCAGTAATAACAATGGCCGTTATGCGCTCATTTGAAGCTGTGGATCCGTCATTTACAGGCTGAATCAGAGTAGAGATATGTAGGCTATGGGATATTAGGATAGAGACCCCTCAGAGACCTACTCAATGAAGACAGCGTCATGATTCAGATATCTGCCTTAGGCCTCTCAAAAAACCGCATTCTGTGTTTTTAATCCAGCAAAAGGAAGGACTAAGCAAACAACACTAAAGCTGACGATCGGGCTAGTCTCGAGGTAGTATTATCAAGTAGTGTCTTCTCAACTACTGAAGTTAAACGGCCTCATTAGGATATAGATGCATGTCGATATGCCAATTTATAGGGCTAATAAGGCACGAAGATAAAGAGTTGCAATTCTACGATAAAACGACCTCTTTAACCTCTACTCCTCATCATTCCAGAAGACTCCTTCTTCGCTTCCGCTCTCTCTCTCCTCCTCGTCGTCCGCAAACTTCTTGCCTTTCTCTCCAACAAAATGCGTATTTCCCCTCTGTGCCTCCATAACTCATCCACTCCCCCGCTAACTCCGCAATCTGCACGCCGAGCTTGTGTACACGCTCGAGCCGCTCCAGGGAGCGCATGCTTTCTGCCTCGGGGTAGTGAGTCTCTAGATCTACATTCTTGTTCGTGAACAGCTCTTCCGGGAAATGCCCTTCTGCAAAGGAGAGACCGCGCATAGCCCACTCCTCTTGAAGCGGGCGAGCCTGGTCCCTCGCGCTTGCGAGGTTGGGGGGTTTGTTGGTGGAGGGCTTAGGGGGTTGGCGGACGGCTGTGCCGTTAAGGGCGTACACAATGTGGCGCCAGGGAAAGGATGGGAAGAGGAAGGTAGCAGCGGCAGAGTAGCCAGCGACGTGGCGGATGAAGACGAGGGTGACGTGCAGGAAGGAGAGCGTGTTTTTGTCGTCTATGCGGAGGAGGTGGATTTCGGCGGTTTGGGCGAACAGGCGGAGAGCGGCGGCGAAGGTAGGAGGAAGAGTAGATGTAGATGGAGATTTTGTGGTGGAGTTGGCGTGAGCCATGATGGTGTCTTGGTTGGAGAATTGCGGCTTGAGGAGGACAGCAAGGGGGTTGTTATCTGCACCGTAGCCGAGGAGGGCGATGCAATTGCTAATAGCAATGCAATACCCTTGTTGTAGATATTCCTTGGTGCTGCGTGTAATGTGCCTGTCGAGATTGCTCTTTATCTCCCTAAGAGACTCGTCAAAAGTATTAAGGGAGTGTCCTGTGAAGATGATTGCATGGGCGCGCACAATGGCAGCAATAGCTGCAGAGAGGGAGATCTTGCTTGCTACTGTGTTTAGATTTGCCTCAAATACCCCTGTGATTAACATTCGTGCTGCCGTAAAGGGATTAGGGACTGCAAGAGTCTTTCCGGCATAAAAAAGTTGTAGGAGTGGGTCTGGCCGGCCCATACTTCCGAGGTGGTAGTATAGGCGTCCGATTGCAGGAGCATAGTTAGCTGACTTCAGATACCACTGGCGTGCGATCTCGGCCCAAACGATGCTGCTACTAGGGTCGTGGCGCTCTATGCCTAACCTGTACCTGCTTAGATCGCCAAGGCATTCAAACCACATACTCTCAAACGCTGGGACAGTCTCGAGGAGAAGGGTCATCATCGGATAGGCAAAGTGTATAAAGGTAAGCAAGTAGTCGTGGGACGCGGGAAGTCTATTGCGGAGGAGCTCCAGAAAATCATGAATAGCGTAGCGATATAGCCTTGTAGGCATACTACGCTCGAGTGGCAGGCGTCGCACTTCAGGCGTAGCAGAAGGATGCTGAGATGTAAGGAGAAACTCGTACTGTTCGTTAAGCAGAGTCTTATGCATGTCGAGGAAGGTCTGATATTGCTCTGTATTCAACTCGGGTTGCACCCCAGGTAGGGCTTCCTCTGCGAGTTGAGCTTGGTGTAAATGCACTTCGACACACTTCTTCTCCATAATCACTATCATGTCATATGTTCGATCGACTTCAGCTATTACCTCTTCCTGAGTTGTCGGGCATGCCACTAGTTGACTAATCATCCCCTGGGAGGGGTCATCGCTGGATGTAAATTCCACAGAGCATCGAGGCTCGCCTCGGGTTGGAAGGGATCTGGCGCTTTGAAATTGCAGGGCTGAGCAAAACGTTGACGGGGACTGTTCCAAGCCGATTGCTTGCGTGTGTCCATCGCTGAGTTTCAGTGAGCTGGCATCATCCCTGCTTATAGTTAGTGCTATTCACAAGCAATCTATATAATGTCCTAAGGCTAGTTCTCTCCGGCAACGTACTTTGAGAGTGCTCTTGATTCCGCGAGAAGAGCGTTGGCGGCGTTTGTCGACATTCCGAGCGAAAAGGCGCTGCTGCGCACAAATGAACGCGCTGGCGGGCGGGAGGTGGAAGTAGCGGGCGGTATTTGTGCGTTGGGGGTTTAGTTTTGGTTTGCATAGGAGGGAATGGTTGTAGTGACAGGTGGATGGAAGACCGCGGACTGAGCGATGGCAATAGGAAGGAATGGGTGGTTTATATTGTTCAATTGTTTAGAGTACGTACTGCAGGGGGTTCTCGGTGAGCCAGGTGGGATAGTTCCAGGCGTAAGTTCCTACCAACGCGAACCACTACCTCTGTGCGGAGTGGAGAGATCCAAATCGCGGGACAGCGGTTACAGACAAAACACTCCAATTAAACAGTATCCCAAGAGTTGTTCTAGGCATAAATATATGACTATATCCTAATATCCCATGGCCTACATATCTCTACGATACGTCTGGTATAGTTCACTAGACTTACCTCACAATACTCTAGCAGAAGGCCCGGAGGAGGTTTTATCTACATATTATGCTTTTCAAGTTTTGCAAAAGTAGTCATTAGAGTTTTCAATATCAACCCTGAGATCGTGTTGGTATTTACATTGTAGCTAAATAGCAGTTGAAGCTAGATAGTAGTGAGAAATTTCTCCCCTTTCAATTTCGTCGGATTAGCAGGCATTCTATGAGTAAAATAATGGATACTTGTCATCTATGTCCACTGTATGGCCTTCTAAGCTTTCGAATCTGATTATCCAACAATACAGCCGTGTTGCGGGTCTGAAAGCTGGGAGTGCAGGGCGTTCTCCCCCACCCGGATCGACTAGGATTGATTTCGAATGAGCCGAATCCATACTAGGAAGTCTATCGCCAAATCGGAAACGGAACTGGTCTCGAGGAAGGGAAGCATAGGACTGAGCTGACGAGGTTAGTGGGCAAACGGGATTGTACGATACAGCATAGGCGACGAAGTCCGAATTTAGGACGTGGGGAATTCAAATATCAAATGGAGCAGTACGAAGTCAATGTAGAGTACGATGGGGATGAGGGGATTATGGTCGTTGCATGGGATCTGAGAAAGGATGACGCGTTTGAGTCAAGAGACTGTTTGAATGAATGATGGCGGTAGAAGCGACGTCAGCTTTTCAGCAAATTTTATAATTCGTCTACCTAGGCCCTCAGGGAATTACGGATTCACTGCACATCCTGCCACGCCACCGGTCCTGCCGGTAGGGGCTTTCTAGTCGTTCCGTAGCAATGTCTTCACATCAAAGGTCCGCGTACTCGTTCTCGCTCGTCCTTGTCGTCCATGCATCGCTCTCGTCTTTGCTCTCGTCCTTGCTCTCGTCCTTGCTCTCGTCCTTGCTCTCGTCCTTGCTCTCGTCCTTGCTCTTGTCATTGCTCTCGTCCTCGCTCTCATCGCTCTCGTCAAATAAGTCCCCCCACCTAACAATGAACATACGTCGAACCCTTCTGTGTCGTTCTTTAGCAATGTGTTTATAGTACGGTGGCATACGCTCGAATACACTTATTGCACAGTAAGCGTTGTCATCGTCATTCTTTAAAATAAGCTCAGTGCAGATCTCTTCAAGTACGCGGAATAAATCGTCGGCGTCTGCAGTATGACGGCATGTTGAGGGATCGCATATGCGCTGCACCCCGCCATGGAAATCAGCATGGCGCCCAGGGCTGACTTGGTTCTCGAGGACCATAAAATCTGCTATTAGTCGGAACATATCAACCCGATCATAGTACCGGATGGCCTTGAAGTCAAGATGGACTATGGTCTTAAGCACCTCAGCTTGGTTGTTGATGTGCTTCTTCTTCCTTTCAAGATGCTTCCATTCTAGATGCCTCTCCTCCTCACGACGCCGCTGTATTTCATGGTAGCGTCGTAATTCCATTAATACAGAGATCGCAGGTTCCTCCTGGAGTTGTAACACGCCCCGGCCTATCAGTTCTTGCTGTCTTGAAGCGAATTGGCGTAGTATCCATGGCTCCATCCTTATGCTAAGGATTTCTCCTTTATCAGAGTGATTTCTTAAGTGTTCGGCTGCTCCAAGTGCACCTGCCCAGGCCCCCCATGAAGTTTCCAGAATACTCTGGTCGTATATATTATATAGTGACAAAAGCAATGTGTCGTAGTCTTGTGTAGCTAATTTGCGGCGAAGAACTTTTTCGAAAAGCTTAGCCTCTTCTTTAGATATATAGAAGAGGCCTTTCCAAGTAGCTTCAAAAAGCATTAGAGCTGCTTTTGGTTCTCCTTTTATATATTTAGTGATGGCTGTAGCTGCATCCTCATACGTAAGCTCTCCGTTTCTAAACTCTTTAGCGTAGGCGGAGAAGAAAAACTCCTTCTTTCTCCCATCAAAAACAGCTCTAAACACCTTGGATACTAGAGAAAGATTCAAAAGCGTTTCTCGGTCCGAAATTTCGAAGAAAAGTTGTGACTTCAATTCAGCAGGTAATAGGGACAAATTATCCCTAATAGGGCTCTCTATGCACTATTAGCGCAGCTTAGTATGCTGATAATAATACTATTACCTCCTAACCTCCTACGTTTCACAACTGCCTTGAGATCAGCCTGGTCGTTGTCACACATAGTTCTTCCTTCTGAGACGGTGTAACTTGGTTTTGTTAGGAGTGTATATTCAGGATTCGGAAAGGCAATGTAGATTGTTTTATATCGCATTAAAACTAATGAGATTGTTAGACGGCACAACAGTATTTAAGGAATTAGTGGTGCTGGCTACTTGACCTCTGGCCCTCCGAGCACCGAAGCCAGCCGACCATCTCCTGTTCCCACGAAGCCGTGATCGAAGACACAGGATGCAGGAACAGGGAAGCGGAAGGTCGAGAACGGGGGACGGTTTTGGTAGTGGCCTTGGCCAAGAGCGACTACGGCTGTTGGAAATAACTTCTATGGCCATCACCATAGAGAGCGGATTAAGCTATTCGGCAAGAATTAAAGGGGCGTCTCGGGATAAAAATAGACTGGTATCAAGAGGCTCAAAACTACCTGAGGCTAGAAAACAACGGTATCGAGCACATGGCACTATTTTATAATTCGTCCACATTATATAATATTAGGCTTTAAAAGACAGCGTTTCCATAAGTCCATCTTATCCCGTCCGCCGCATACCACTGACTTCGAAGGCTGTCTAGCGATTCCTTTGCAACATCTGTATAGTTCTTGAATGAACCCATTATTTCCATAGCATCCGCCCACCGATCCTCCGAAATCGCCTGACTACAGATGTTTTTGAGTGTTTGAAGGTAACTGTCGACGTCTCCATTAAGGTCCAATAGTGCATATGCCTGACGACAGGCTTCGGCCCATTGATGTTCCTGAATAGAAAGACGGAGCATTGCCTGAACAACTTCGATTAAGGCGTCATTGATCTTCGTCCTTTTTTCAGAATCCCTCTTCTCACGATACAACTCTAGATCGTAATATTGACGTAGGCCCTTTAACACACAGAAGGCGTTGTCCTGCTGGACTTGTAACATACTCTGGCATACTATTTCTCGTCGCCTTGAAGCGGCTTCATGCCGTATCCTTCGTATCATCTTTGAAGTGTCATTATTTCGATATTCCTCGTGTAAGAAATCTGCTGCTGTAAGCGCAGCTGCCCAGGTGTCCCATGAAGTTCCTAGAACAACCGTATCATACATAGTTCGCAATGACAGTAGTACTGTATCAAAATCTTCTTCATCCAGCCTATAACCAAGGCGGTTTAGGAAAGCAACAGCACCTTTCAACTGCCCTTCGTGGATCATACCTTTCCAAGTAACTTCGAAAATCATCAGAGCCGCCTCTCGATGTTCCTTCATGTGTTTAGTAATAGTGTCGATCGCATTATCAGATGTATACTCTCCACGCCTAACTTCCTCAGTGTAGGCAGAACGGAAAGAATCTATGCTGAGGAAGCCCTTAAAAGCCTGATTCACTAGGCAAACCCTTAGAAGGGTTCTTCGGTCTATAATTTCGGATATGATTTGCATGATTATTTCGGGAGGTAATCGGGGCGAAGAGCTACCGATGTGTGAGGAAAGGCGTTGCTTCTTTTGCGGCGATTTGTCAACTATGTACTGTTAGCACAGCTCAGTATACAAATGTTGATATTCTTACCTCGAGAACCATAGTATGGCCTCTTGCGTTCTGCAACTTCCCTAGGATCGTCGCCTTTAGTACCCGACACCATGATATATAGCATGTGTTGCTAAGATTGTCCAGCGAATTTCGTTAGAAGGGCAGTGAAAATTGTTGTATAACCGTAGGAAACCGAACGAAGTTGTTTAGGAACTCGGGGGAGACCACGCTGAGTCGATGGATGGCACGACAGTATTTATGGAACCAGTCAACTGTTTTCACGCGTCTTAGGTTGCTGTTGGCTGCTGTCGTGATCGAAGACGCAGGATCCGACCTTTCGAGAAGCCTGAAGAAGAATTCTGAAGCCAGCCAACCATCTCCTGTTTCCATAAAGTCGAAGACACAGGATGCAGCCATTCGAGAGGTCCTAGGCAGATTTCCGAAACCAGCCAACCATCTCCCGTCCCCATGAAGCCGCTGTCGCCATTGGTGACACAGGATGCGGCCTTTCCAGAGGCCTGAGGCATTTTTGGGAAATCGACCAACAATCCCCTGTTCTCATGAAGCTGCTGCCGTGATGTAGCCTTGGAAAAAGCCCCGAGGAAAAGCCCCGAGGAAACGTTTTGGGAAATCGACCAACCATCCCCCGTTTTCATGAAGCCGCCGTCGTGATCGGAGACACAGGATGCGGCCGCTCGAGAGGCCCGAGGCAGACATCGACCAACCGTCCCCCGTTTCCATGAAGCTGTCGTCGTGATCGAAGACACAGGATGCGGCCTTCTGGAAGGCCCGAGGCAGACTTCAGAAATCGTCCAACCGTTTCGCGTTTCCGGGAAGCCGCTGTCGTGATCAAATACACAGGATGCAGCCGTTCGAGTGGGCCCAGGCAGATTTCGGAAATCGGCCAACCGTTTCGCGTTTCGAGGAACGTGAGAATAGCCAGGATGCGGCCATTCGGAGGGCCCAGGCAAATTTCTGGAGCCAGCCAACCATCTCCCGTTTCCAGGAAGCCGCTGTCATAATCGAAGACACAGGATGCGGCCTTTCGAAAGGCTCGAGGCAAATTTCGGAAATCGACCAACCGTTTCCCGCTTTTAAGCGCTCTTGGGCCTCTTTAATGGTCGCCACAAGTGGAGAAGTGTGGGCGTTGAGGCAGTGCAGGTAAAAGCAGCATTGGTCCTAGAGCGGGAACAGGGAAGCGGAAGGCTGACAACGGGGAACGGTTTGGTGGTGGTCTTGGCAGCAAAAGCGATGGCAGCTCACAGAGAATTGGGCATCTCTGTCGGAGATGGTCGCTAAATGCAACGACTTTCAGATTTCTGTTGATGGAAACTTGATAACCAATTGCTGTATCACGTAAACGGTTCTAAGGCTAATGCTGCTTTTATCTAACAACACTACTACACGAAACGGCCAAATGTACACGGCCATCGCAAAACGGGAAGATGCACGAGCTAGCGCTTTGTAAGGTAGACAAATACTATAGTAAGTATTACAATTATCATATAAAGTCCTCCGTTTTCTAATGTTAGAAGTCAGCTTTCCAAATCCTAGAAACGGTAAATCGGCTGTCTAGAGGTTGATTGTCCAGAGATTGATTGACAACTCGCCCAAAACCTCCTGACATTAGTTCATGGACCACTCACCTCTAACACCTCTTTATTCTAAGATTTAATTTATTCCGTTTTTTCTAAAACAGCCTAAGTCATCATGTTTACATTTCAGACATAGTTGCAAAACACTCAGGAGCATGGCTTTGATGATTCCATGGTCGACAGGTCGTTATAGGACCAACTTCTAGCCAGGGAACAGAGGCTCGAGAGTCAAACTTACCGAAAACAGCTTACATAGCCTTCAATTAAATCCTATCGTTACTTAGAGAAACGCTGGCGCGAGCAAGTAGATCCGTTCATGATAAGTATCATGTTTAACCCTAACAGGTACCATGTGAACATTGGCCTAGACGGGGAGAAATGTCTTGCAAGGGGGTCTCCTTGTCCAACTCCTAGTCGCCTAAAGAATTTCATAGCCTAGTATGCTGAAACTAGCAATGGCACATTAAGAAGCAAGCCTACACAAGTCTTAATGAAAAACTAGTTGCAAGACTTAGGCGCTATGATCTATCAAGAGACAGGAACAAACATACCAAAAGTGCTTAACGAGCATGTCTGATGGAGAAGCGCGGAAGTACTCGCATATCAGGGACTTTGGCTTGGTCATCAGGATCAGCGCTGCAACAACTGAAGAGAGTCTGCAAAAAGGGTGGCTGGCCCCAGAGAATGACCTCATATAATGTGCGTCGAGGGGTATTAAACAAGCTAGACGGTAAGTCACACAACCTAGTCTCGTTATACGTGTAGAAAGTAACAAATAAACAGGGGATCCGAATACATCATCTGCACAGAGAAATCAAATCGCAGGTCAAGGCAATTCCGCGGTCTTTACTAAGTCATATCTATCACTTCACTCAGCTGTGGTTGTTGAAAGAGTTTTTAAAGGTCGAGCAACGCGTGTTAAAAATGAAGACGACGATGATGATGATGACGACGTAAGAGGTATGCGACTCTTGAGAGACCGGAGCGCACCTCCAACTTTACCAGACCACCTCTGGGAACGAATCATGCAGGCGGATAGAGATTTGCAAACCATCGGCGAGAATCGACAACTCGTTCGACAACTCGTTCGCCGAGAATTAGCTTTGCCAAGTGCTGAGGGTTCCGCAACCAAGATAGCAGCTCTTCAGAGGGAGCTTTATAACTCCAACAGAAAGTTCGATCAGCGAAAGCAGAACCTGAAAAGGCAAGAGTACCTCAAGTTTAGGGCCGAATGGTTTAAATCGCGAGCCTCGAAAATTCTCGCGTCCTCGAACGAATCCCAGTTACAGAAACCGATTACGGCCACTGAATTCTCCCCAGCCAGGAAGGCTGTCATGGAGGCGTTGTACCCAACGGATCCTAGCAAACTCTCAATGTTCTCTGCCGCAAAGGCACTCATCTTCTTTGTCGAAACCTCGGATGGAGTACGTGCTAGTATTGCTAGTGGAAGGAAGAGCCGGCTTGATCCTGCCATTTTACCAGCTAAGAAGAGGAGACAGGGAGACTCGATGACCTTTATTGCCTGCTCGCCGACGATTTAGGTTGTAGAATCTAATTTAAAATGGCGACAGTCATTTGCTGTCACATATTTGCTATAGGGGATAGGGGAAATAGGCTGCGAGAACGAGGTTGTCTCTGTCGTGGGATGTCTTGTTCCATCGAAAATGCATTTCTTTCGGGCACAATTGGCGGTTGTCAAGCAGGGCAGCTATTTAATTAAAGGTTAAAGATTTTAGTCCTGCCTTTCCCATACATACGTTGTGAATATAATAATCAATCTCCCATTACGTCTTTTCTTACAAATCTAACCAATACTCCGTTTCTCCTTTGATGCCGTCGCAGCACCGTGAAATAGAAGCACTTGATTAGTCTGGCCCAGGAGACCGAGAATCTGTCCCGGCGTTCAGATACAGGAGTGGATATAGGCGCTCTGAATGAGTCTGACAGCAGCGAGAGATGGGATTATAGCCGGTATACTGATTATGGAGACAACAGCTACGATTCTCCACAAAACTTCACTGCGTGTGATAGAGGTTGAACAAATAGCCACTTTATTCTGCGAGAGCACCTGTAGGGATTCGTCAGACATTTGACCAAGCCACTTTGAAGTTCGAGCAAGACAACGCAGCCCAGGAGCTCTCCAAAGAATTGAACGACTATACGCTACCGCCATGGCGCGCCGCCGTGACTGAGATCCTGTTTGAGGCATCAGATCAATCACAAGAGGGGAGGCTTGTATTATTACGCAACCTTCGGGACCTGTCTAAAGTCAAAATGTGGGCCTGCCAGAACCAAGATGCTATATCCGTGTCCCTATATTGATTGTGCGCACCATGAGAAGCCCTTTGACACCAAGGATGCTCTAACCCGCCACTCTCGCCATCACGGATGTCGCTATGTCGATTCTGTTCACTATGAGAAGCCCTTTTCCACCAAGGCCGCTCTAACCCGCCACTCTCGACGTCACCGCCAAATGGAGTATATGTCCCAACAGATGAATGAATTGACCTTTACACGCAGGGCGACTCTCCACTGCGGCCAAGGCAACACTAACACAGAACATTTCTGTCCTCACCGCAGTTGTCCGCGCTACATGTTGCCCTTTGGACTATTGTCGGCTTGAAGAACCTTCAGAGTTCCTATTCCCCCAAAGGAACGTATCATATACTCTTTTACGTCGGGTGAGAGTTTGATGGGGGTTTCCTAAAGCTAATTGAGGAGCGCTTGAAGTTGCTGAATCTTCATTGACAGCTGCGATCGAAGAGCCCTGACTCGATTGAATGGCGAGTGCCGTTGGAGAAGAGACGAACATGTCCCGTGCAGCTGGCGCAGCTGATGGAGGAGCGGTCTGAGGAGACATTCTGCCAGCCGGAGAATCATTTGATAATTGCTGGGCAATGGAAGTTGCTGGCTCGCTCTCGGCCGCAGTGGAAGAACTCTGATTCGACCCAATACCGCTATCATGAAATTGACTTTCGGTCTCCATTCTGATTTGTTGAGGTGGTCCTTCCACAGGATCACCTTGATCTGGAAAGAAAAAATTGAAGTTCTTGTTGTGACCGAAAACCACTGCACCGCCATGGTATAAGGTTGTGGTACTTTGTTTGCTAGATAACCTTTGATTTAAACGTGATGGAATAGGGACCTGAACAAATTCGGAATGCTCTCTCAATGTTTGTCCTCTACACTTACATGGCTCAAATGCCGTGTCCGGGCTGCGCCAAGTTATGTCCCTAGTGAGCTTCCGCGGTATCGCTGTCACGTCGCCTTCATGCTGGAGCATAATTTCTTTGAGGTCAGACACGCAAACAGCTAGATAGTATCCGTGCTTCGGCAATGCCCTCCATCGAGAGCAAAAGATGGTGTTTGAGGGCTGGATGATTTCGCCAAAACCACGTCCAAACAACGTTATTGCGCGAATGGCTCTAGTAAAATCAACCCAGCCGTTTCCTATCGTTTGAAGCGTGGCCACATGAGGCTTGTATGGGTCGTTATCAGCAGCCAAGTCCCTAAAATCCCAGCCTTCGAGATGCCTCCGTACCCTGATTTTCATATTCACCCCACTCTGCCCTTCAATCTCAATTTGATGGTCGATTATCTTCTCGATGACGTTGTAAAGGCGTTCAATTCGATCGACAACGCGAACATATGTCGTTTTCTTCTTTATAACCTTCTCAGGGATTTCAGGGAGGGAGTTTCCATCGATCTTCGTCGTCTCTTCCTCATATGTGTCCACTTTATCGACGTATATTGGCAGGGCCTTATTTTTTTCATCCATCAGAACTCTGATGGCAGACTTAGTCGTATGTGGAGTGGAGGCCTCCTTCAAATCCTCAGGCTTGCACAAAAGTGCGAAACTGAAATCATCCACAGTGTTGAGTCTCAACGAGGTACGAAGCAGGTGTAGTAAGGCGCTGGTACCATTGACTAGCCAGCCACGCTTGTCTTCTTCGTCCCAAAAAACTACATATTTCTTGTGGATCCACTGTAGCTTGTCTACGTACCCATTTCGCGATACGTGTATTGGTTTGTCTCTGACCCCAATGCCAACTGAAACACCGGCAGTGACGAATTTTCCGCCGGAGATAGAGACTTTCTCTAAGGCACAACCCGCATGAGGTCCTGGCAAGCCGGATGGCATCACATCATAAGTGGCGTCTGCAGCCCCTATTTTACAAATCTGTCAATGTCGTTCTACTTTTTTTTGGTTTCAAATGAGTCTTACCAGCATAACTTTTGACCTCTAAGTGCCAGCCAACAACATGCCGAACTTGCTCCAAGGTAGAAGTAGATACGTTTTCCAAGTGAGGTATGTTAGCATCTAGATAGGACATTCGGCTTCCGTCATTGTGAAAGAGATGGTGCCATATCAGTAGATCTCCAGTTCGCTTTGTCGGAAAGAGCATAGTCGAAAAGCCTTTAATGAAGAGCTTTCCATCAAACGTGTCTACCCACTTTGTTTGAGCCAAGGCCGCAATAGCATTTAGTGGGATTTCAAGGCCTAATTCAGGCTCAACTCTTCGTAATATCGGATAGCCCTTGACAGCAAGCGGATTTCTGAACATATCTTGCCAGCATTGGCCGTTCCCGGATTTGCCCTGGGTCAGTGGTTTCTCCATTTGAAAGTTGATCTTGCAGCGCGCAATGTACACAGAATTTCTCTGTGGATCTGGCTGGGACTGACAGAGGACGGAAGGTGTGCAGTACCCAACTCCGACCTCATATGGAGATGAGCGAAGAGCGGCTCCGAGCCAGGCAAGTTGTTGGCCAATCTCTGCGACCGATTCTCCTGTTCCATATGCCTCCAGCATGAATTTTGACTTTTCCATCCATGCTGTGAGCTTGGTGCGATCGGGTAATATGCCTACAATCCATAGTTAGTAGCAGAATTATTATCACATAAGTGAAAGAGCTTCTACTCACGTGTACATCGAGAATTTTCACTTCGGACCACGTCTTTGACCAAGCGAATGACGTGCTCCCCAGACGCTCCCCAAATCTGCTTTAGATACTGCCCACAGGGAAGAGCCTGAGCATCTTTCGCGGTCCCTGTCAGAGTAAGGGCTATCTCAATGGCCTCATCCGGTTCTCCCTCGTACTTCTGTTCCTTGACAAAAGCGACTGGGTCCCAAATGACCTCAAAGGTTGTTACATAAGCTTCTGCAGGCCGACACTTGCTGACCCTGTGTGATGAGGGCAACGACTTCATTATCTTTTTTTTAACGGCATCCATTTTGTTTGGTTTTGCTTGGACCAGAAGAGGTTCCCGGAGCAGGCTAGAAATAAGCCATTCGTATGCTGGCGCTTTGTAGATGAGATCTTGGTATTCTGGAGGTAGTTTGGGTGCCTCGTCTTCCTCCTCACTCTCTACCACGTGGGAATCAGGTAGTATGGTAGATACAGGGCCACTATGATCTGGATCAATTTCTTCCGCCCCGTAAGAGGCTACCGATGTTTGAACCCAATCATTTGTGTAGCCACTTCTATCAACGTAGGACGCCTGAGTATCTGGAATAATGTCCTCCTTTGAAGAGTAAAGGCTTCTCAGATGTGTGACAATCTCCCTGGAGTTATTATTTATTGGCATAATGTCTCAGATTAGTATCCACGAAATGAAATATAGAAATTACCTGCGGTGTTTATGTACAAGGTACATCACATCCCAATGCATTGGGTTATCAGTATTGTGACCAATTTTAAGAGCAAAAGCCTGTAGCAGATCCGGGAGACTCTTAAGAACTCTGTCCATAATCTGGCGATCGAAATCTTTGAACTGAACTTTGCTGAACAGATCACGGGCTAGGTCGGCTACGTAGTTTTCCATATCGACGCTAGATGCTGGAGAATAATTTGTGGCTATATCATCCGGAATAGACGAGAATATGCTTTGTGCAGGCTCAGAAGTAGCTCCAATAGAGTTCGGGCCTACTGTAACGATCTGTCCTTGTGGAGCCGGATCTCTCCTAAATAATTCTTTAGTTTTCGAACTAGAGCTAAGACGCGCGAGAAGTTACTTACCACTTTATATCTGCAGCATTTTGGACCTCCTCGGGCGCATCATACTTCCCCTGGCGAAGTACTTCTTGTTGCAACGGAGCGTTCTCGTTCGTGTCCGAGTGTTCTGATAGAGTACCTTGGTGGAAGGAATTTGATGCATCTAATGACAGCGCCGTTCGATCATTCCTATCCTTAATAATAGGGCTAACTTTGTCCTTTTCGAGTAATAACTCAACTATCGCTGCATCCCCTTTCTCTGCCGCCCACGAAAGCGGTGTGCGACCACTAATGTCCTTCGAGTCGGGGTTGACG